TCCCCTCCGCAGATAGAACGCTCTGAAGTGTCAGCACTGTCCCCTGGACGTCCGACCCCAGCCCTCCCAGTGCCCGTGTCCTGCTGCTCCTCGGGACCTGCCTTTGCCCACGCGTGGTGCAGATTGGTGCCTGCAGGCTGCTCCTGCTCTGCTCGCAGCTCCCCACGCTGACCTGTGGAGTGCTGTAACTTTACTTGCTCTTCCTACCCTCGGGGGTGTTGGCATTCCCTGAACCCAAGACGTGGCCCCACTATCCTGGTTAAGCCTGATTCTTTCAGACGCTTGGTCTTTATTTCCTTCCCTTCACCTCCCACCACGCTGCGCGCCTCGAGCGTGGTGTTGGTGTCTGCATACGATGGAGTCCTGCAAGCCCGAGGCCGGCCTCGGGTGGGTCTGCTTCTCCTGTTCCTCGCAGGTGTGTGAGCGGTTGCACCCTAGGGCTGCACAGGAACGTGTGAATGAGGCGCATCTGGTTCTGCCTGTTTTCTTCTCTTTTGAGCTCTTTGATCTTCAAAATTGCCATTTCTGTATGTTCTGGTTACATGACGCCCAGCTGTAGCCAGCATTGCCGGTCTGGAAGGCTCCTTCTTGGGCAGGAGGGGCTCCAGCCGGTGGGGCTCATTGCAGGCCTGGCCAGGACAGGTCTTGCCAATGGTGGCAGTTTCACAAGTGTGTACAACTCTCAAGACTCATCAAACTATGCGTGTTAAGTGGGTATAGTTTGGGTATGTACATTGATGCCTGTCTAAAACATTTCAGTAGGCCCGTTTCCTGAAGGCTGCCCCACAGATGGCTGCATGCCAGTGTTGCGTGCAGGGCTGGGTCAGCTCAGAGCCCACTCCTTTGCTGTCGTGTTGAATGGGATTCAAGGCCAGGAGCACTGAGAGGAGGGTGACCTTCAGGTGTTGCAGCTCCTCTCCATGCTGAAGGGTGGGCCACCACTGCCTGGTCACGGTTGACTCAAAGACATTTTAGGTTTCTGAGACCCTGCTCTGCATTCACAGAAGGGAGAATTACGGTTTCCCTCATGGTAAATATCTCCACGATGAGGGTGCCTGTTGGGTGCTCCTGGCGTCTAGAGGTAGAGTCCAGCATCCCACAGTACTAGGTCAGCCCCAGGACAGAACTGTACGGCTGCAGACGTCGAGAGTGCCGAGGTTGGGAGAATGCGAGTCAGAGCTCACACGAAGGCTTCAGGGGGCTAGCAAAATGGGGAGACTGAGAACAGTTTTCCTCTGGGGACACTGGACAGTCTTAGGGGACTAGGGGCATACTAATTAGAGTCTGTTGACCCCCACCTGTGGGTTGGGGTACTGGGAGACCTCAGAAGGCAGCACAGCTCGTCTTAATCCTTGAAAGCATAGAAAGGGACTGTGGGGATTAGTGTTTCCAGCATCTGGTGCAAGTAAATTCTTTTTGGAATAAGATAACATCCTAGTTCTTATCACAATCAGAATAGCAATGCCCATGAAGAGACATGGTGGCAGGGACAAGCCAGGAGGAGCAGTGGGACAGTAGTAGCACCTGGATGACAGAGGCTGGAAGGTCCCTGCTGTATCATGGAGCCAGTTATGTCAACTAAATGCTGACAACTAAGAAAGCTCATGTTCACTAAGATCAGGAGCACAGCAAGAATGATGTTCTCTTGCACACAAGACCCAGTGGTCTTGGCTGGTGCGAGGAGGGAAAAGCTAGAAATAAAGATTATATGTATTAGGAGGGAAGTAGTGAGGTGGCGTTTCTTCCCAGATGTGATTGTCTACATGGAAAATCCCAACCTATCTTCAAAAAGACTATTAGAACTCATAAGTGAAGCCACAACATACAGGTGTGGAAGACAGAACAGTGGTCCCCAACGGTGCCCATGCCCTGATCCCCAGAACCTGTGAATGTCACCCATGGCAAAGGGACTTTGCTGGTGGGGGTTAGGTTGGGATCTCGAGATGGAGGGATCATCTCGGCTTTCCTGGGGGGCCTGTGCCAGCACCATGAGAGGGAGGCGGCGGGACGTGTGGAAGGCCTGGGCCACAGCCGGACGCACACTGCCCTGGGAGCCGGAGAGGCAGGTGCCCTGCTCTAGAGCCTCCAGACGGGGCACAGCGTGTTGACGCCTCGACTCCAGCGCTCTGGCCTCCAGCACGGGCAGGTAATGAATCTGTGTTGTTTTAAGTACATTAGTCTGTGGTAATGTGTTACGGCAGAAAAGGAAACTAACACACAACGCCAAGATACAAATCAATCGCATTCTGTATCTAGCAACCAACAGTTGGAAATTGAAGTTTTAAAAATAGCATTTAGTGTTATGAAATGCTAACAAACAAATGAATTTTGTTATGTCAGCAGAGTACTGAGGACTGGAACGCATTTCACAAGACATTCAAGGCTTGTACACTGATGACTACAAAACATCATTAACGCAAAGAAGACCCAAATGTAGACACATGTTAAATACCGTGGGTCATATTGCCCAGCGTGGCTGCGATGACAGTTCTTACCAACTTGATCTACATGCAGAACAGCCAGTTACCTAGCAGTTCCTCATAAACTTCAAATACGCTGACCACCCACTGGGAATCCGCCCTCTTGATAGCTGCACAAGAGAAACGGTTCTGTCTGCGCGAAGTACTCCACTGTTCGTAGAAGCGTCGTTCACAAGAGCAAAACACTGGAGCTAGACCAATGGCCGTGAAGTGGCGAGCGCACAAGCAAACGGTGCATCTCTGTGCCGAGTATGGCCAGCAGTGAAAAGGAACAACTGATGCACACAGGAGTGTGGCTGCGTCGCGCAAGCACTGTGCTGGGTAAAAGGAACCAGAAGAAAATGTGCGCTTTATGGTTCCATGTATAGGGAATGTAGAAGAGGCGGCCATGGTGTCAGATGGCTGGTCAGTGGTTGCCATGAGCTGGGAGAGAAGGAGGGACAAGCGGGAATTTGGGGGATGAATAAAATTTTTTCTTTGGAGAGACCAATGACTAATAAAATTGATATAAACTCCTGGCGAACAGGCAAGGAAAATAAGTCACACGTAACCCTTGTTAGAATGAAAAGGGAGATAACTACACATTCTTTAGGCATTACAAAGATGACACAAGGATATTATGAATATCTTTATGCGAATAAATTTGCGAATGGAGGCGAAATGCTTCAGTTCCTAGAAAAAGAGGTTTGAAAACTGGCACAAGGAAAAACAATATAGTAAATATCATATATAGCTATTAAATAAATTGATCTTGTAAATTAAAGACTTACACATGCACAAACATGCTCACATGTCCAGACATTGAACTGTAGCAAACTTTAAGACAATTTCTTCCAGAGGGTAGAAAATAGAGTAAGCATTTGCAAATTCATTTACAATACCAGCATGACCTTGATACTATTAATATTATAATACCAAATAAAGGGCATTTTTGGGCAATGTCATGAATAATAGATGAAAAATATTAATATATCAAAATCAATATATTCAGAAAGGTTATACTGTATATCATAACCAAGGTGGGTTGATTTCAAGGATACAAGTTTGGCTTAATAGTTTTTTTTAAAAAAACAATTTACCACATTTATAGAAAAAAAGAAAGATATGATCATATGCTTAGATTAGACACATTCAGTAAAATCCAGCATCCATTTGTGGGGATGAAACCAATAGCAAACTAGGAATAAAAAAATTTCTTTCGTCTGAGAACATTTACCAAAAATGATATTGATATGTCAATATACCTATTGATATATTAATACCAACATCATATTGGCAAAATACCACCTCCTGTTCCCCAGTGCTTGCTAGTGTATTAAGGCATGGATAAAAGGGGAAGGACACAAAGTTTGTAAAGAAACAATGAAAACTCATTATTTTCAAATTATATTATTGTATGTGTAGGAAATACAAAAGTACAGTGAAATGATTAGAATTAATAAAGGTGCTAGATAAAATATATATATAGAAATTGATTTTTCAGGAATAAATGGAACAAATGGAAAATAGAAAATGTTACCTTTTTCAGTAACAAGAAATATCAAATAGGAATAAATAAAATGCAAGATATGAAAGACCTCAACATAGAAAACTACAAAACATTATTGAAAGAAATCAGAGGAGGTCTAGGTGGGCTGATATGTTAATGGGTTACAACAGCGATCCCCAACCTTTTTGGTACCAGGGACCAGTCTCATGGAAGACAGCTTTTCCACGGGGGGCAGGGAGGAGGCAGTAGTGCGTGGCCCAATCCTGAACAGGCCACAGACCAGTACCAGGCCACGAACCAGGGGTTGGGGACGGCAGAGGTAGAAGACTCAACATGATAAAGATGTCATTTCTTCCCCATTTGCTTTATGGATTCAGTGTTGCGGCAAGAAAGCCCTATGAGGTTTTTTCTCCCCTTTTCTGGATCTTGAAAGATAATTTCGGCAACTTACGTGGAAATGCAAAGTGCCAAGAGTAAGAATCTCATGAAGGGGAAGAACAAGGGTGAAAGGCTTGCTTTGAGGATGACGAGGGAGAGCTAACACACTGGGCGGTGCTGGGGCAAGCAGGGTGCCCACACAGACCGTCCACGTGTGGACATGTGTGTATCAAGTGTTGCCCCACAGAACGGTGGGGAGAGGACAGTGTTGTCAGTAAATTGTTTTTCCTCGCAGACAAATGTGAGACCCCTCCCTCACACCATACACACCAATCCTGGCTGTGTCCAATTTTAAATTTAAATATGAAAGAAGCAGCATTGAAATTGCAGAAGATTGATGGAGAATATCTTCATGACTTTAGGGTTAGGGAAGACTTAGGATGCAAGAAGCTCTAATAACAGGAGAAAAGATTAGTACATTCTACTACATTAAAATTAACGTTAACGGCTGACGGAAGCTGCTTTCCAACACGCCATTAAGAAGGTGCGGAGGCACAGCCCCGAATGAGGGCAGGTGCTGGTCACACACGTCATGCACAAAGGGCTGTGTTCAGGCTATGTGGGGCCTTCAAAAAGTTCATGGAAAAGTGGGATTAAAAGACAAAATATATAAACTTTATTTCTCAACGTAAGCTCCGCCAAGCTCACAAGGCGGTGTGGGCGATGACACCACCACGTAGTCCGCTCCTGAAGAACTGAGGGTGCCAGGAATCAGCCACGGCGATGCGGCCTTTGTTACGCCACCGACCGGAGAAAAGTGGGTGAGCTCTGCAGACCTTTTAGGATCAGGAAACAAGAAGTCAGAAGGAGCAAACTCACTTGGTCAGGCGGGTGCCCGATGATTTCCCACCCAAATCTCCCCAGATCGCCCTCGTTTGGTGAGAGGAGTGAGCAGGAGCGTCGTGGTGGAGCAGGACTCTCGGGGAAGCCTTCCTGGCGTTTTCCTGCTAATGCTTTGGCTGACTGTCTGGAAGAACGCTCTGACAGGCAGATGCTATCGCTCTTTGACCTCGGGAAAGTCCGCAGCAGAGTGCTGCGAGCACTGACGACTGTGGCTCCAACCGCGGCTCCTGGCGGCTCCGCCCTTGCTCGACTGCACACGCCCAGCTCTCGGCAGCCACACCGCAGCCGTGCTCTGTCCGCACCCGCCCGCAAAGCGCGTTCCCTTTCCGTTACAATTCTTCAAAGAAACACTTCAGGGCCTTGATCCCACTTGTTTACAATTTCCATGGAAAGCTCTGTCTTGTCACTGGAGTGGGAAGTCTGCTCAGCTTTCATAGTTCAGCCAGAACCGCGAGCTGAACCAGCTGAGACGGCGTGGTGCTGCTGTGGCCCGTCCGCCCTGTTCAGTCACAGCGCGAGCAGGATGAATTTCCCTCCCAAATTGATGTGCGTGGTCTGCGGCTGTGGGCTTCATCTTCAACATCGTCTCCTCCCTTCTTAAAACTGGTTATCCATTTGGAAATGCTGATTGCTTTGGGGCATTAACTCCATAAACTTTTTGTAAAGCACGAGTGATTTCACTATTTTTCCACCCAAGCTTCACCATACATTTCATCTTTGTTCTTGCTTCGATTTTAGCAGAATTCATGTTGCTCCAAAAGGTATTCTTTTTAAACTGGTGTCTTATCCTTCTTAGTGTCTCAAACTAGAGCCTGTTCAGATGTGTTATAGCAAGTTAATATGAGTATATTTTGGTGCAAAAAACTTTTGGAATTCATGCATAGTTTTTTCCTAATACATAATTTCCATGAACTTTGTGAAGACCTGTTATACAAGACATTTAACAAATCCATAAGAAAAAGACAACTTAATCTGAAAAAAAAGATAGTTCATAAAAGAGAATATCCAACATGGCCAATAAACATTAAAGGTCTTTACTGTCATTTATAATCAGGGAAATGCAAATTAGAGTCCTAAAATTATGCTACTAAAATAATATTAATAAAATTAAAATTATTACTAATACAAGGATTTCAGAAGGTGTGGTGATCTCATACACTGTTTCTTAGAGGGGGAATTGCCACAAACACGTTAGAGTTCAGCATTAGCCAAAATAGATGTTCAGCTCCCAGATGCATTAATTTCTGCCACTGTGACAAATTCTCACACACTTCAGGCTTGAAGCAATGTCCCCTGATTAACTCCCAGTTTTTCTAAGTCAGGAGGCCAGACGTGGGTAGCGGGTGCCCTGCTTGGGGTCTCCCAGGCTGACATCCAGGCTCCAGCGGGATCACGTCCTCTGAGCTGCGGGCCTCTCCCAGCCCACAGTGGGTGGCAGAGCTCAGCTCCTCGAGGCTGTAGGATGGGCCTGTTTTCTTCCTGTCAGAAAGGTCTGCTTCCCTCCGCCATGCTGCCTTCCATCGGTCTCTTCAGGGCTGAGCCGGCCTTGGCCCAGGGCCTTTGCACACGCCACCCCTTTAGCCTCAGATGCGCTCCCCTCCCCAGGAGCCTCCACTCACCCTGGCAGGAGGGAAATCACCCCTGCCCAAGTGTACCCCAACCAATGCACTCTGCCTTGCTCTTCCCCACAGTGCGTGTCTGCCCTGACATGAACCTGTCTGTCCTAATTCCGTGAAAGGGAGGGGACCTGTCTGTGTCGTTCACTGTGGGATCACTCATGCCCAGCAAAAGCTGTCTCCCAAGGAAGGGCAGAGGCATGAAGGAAGTGGCAGGGCTCCAACCTCTGGTCTCGCAGTTGGGCTTGGTGGGCAGCAGGGGTGGGTATCCACGGGGAAGGTAGGGCTGAGGTCCTGGTGTCTTGAGTGCAGTCCTGCCCTTGAAACCTGAGCGTCCTCTGTCCTCTGTGCAGCCAGCAGAATGTGGACACTTGCATTGCTCTGAGTGAAGCCCTGTGTGACGCCATGTGACCTCACGGGGCTGTGTGATGTCACAGCGGGCGGGGCCCGCTGGCCCTGCCTCCACACTCTAGTGGCTGTGACTGCAGACGGAGGAGAAGGGGGCCAGTTTCTTGTTTTATCCCAAAGCCATTCTCCACTTGGAGCAGCACTGCCGGGTGCGGCCGAGGGCCCAGGGAGCTGGTGGCAGGTGACTTCCCAGGCGGCCCTGCCCCCCGCGTGGCCCTGCTTCCGGCGGGTGTCCACAGGGTCGCTGTGCTGAAGGTTTCTGTTTTCCAGGCTTGACCGCTCTGGCCATCCGTCAGTACCACAATGAAATATGTGGCGGACATCAAGAAGTCCCCGCCGCACCTCCTGAAGAAATTTGCAGGTGACGTAGAAAAGGCCCTGCTGGGCTGTCGTTGTCTGATGGGTAGTCCGCGGCGCCAGGCCCTCGTGGGCAGCACTCCTGGTCTCTGCTCCAGGCCCTGACCCTGGGGCCACTGGGGGCCTGGCCTGCCCTGCCAGGGGGAGATGGGGCCACCAGAGGCTGGCACCCTCGCCTGGGTGCGTGGGGCGGTGAGGGCCCTGTCGGGGTGCCCAGGCATGGCGCGCTGCCTCTGGGGGCACACCTGGCCAGCAGGCCCTGTGCCCTGGGGTCTGCCTGCGGCCTGGCAGATGGTGCAGGAGGAGGACTCGGCTGCCTCTAGCCTCCTTTGCAGACTTCAAGGCAGCTGTTTGGTTGAGAGTTTCTGTTCGTTTTAGGCTTGTTGGGCAACTGTAAAATGGCAAGGCTGGGTTCCACCGTGTTTTGGAGCCAGCCTGGGTGACCGAGTTGTTGCAGGGCACTGGTGGTGGTTGGAGGAGACAGAGGCCGCCAGCCCGCGGGGCCTGTCCCGCAGCGCAGACCGGCCTCCCGGCCCGGCCCGCTGGCAGGTACTGTGGGGGGAGGCGCAAGATGAGGACTGTCTGAGTGAAGGGGCGAAGGACAAGTGGCCTGCCTGGTGGGAGCTGTGGACACCACCACTGGGCCTCACGTGGGCGTCCAGCCCTGGCCAGCAGCGCTCGCCTGTCGGGTTGGGTATCACCTATTGTCTGTTAGTTGTCTGTCTAAAATTAATGTCGATCCCCTCACAAAGTTACCACGAAAATTAAATAAAATAGTTCCTGCAGCAGTGCCTGGCAAACTGTAAAGTGCTGTGCACATCTGAGTGTTCTTCTGGGAGTGGCTGGCAGGAAAGAGCCGGGACTCAGGCAACAGCCTGGCGCTCTGCCGTCGCCGTGGTGCTGGGGAAGGCCGGGCAGTGGACACATTGGTTCTCTGCTCCCAAACCTGTGTGTCCCAGCAGGCGTCACAACAAGGTACAAATCTCGAAAACTGGAGACCCATTTTCTTGATACTGTGCATTTAAAACCACAGATAAAGTTGTCTTAGAAGAAAAGACAAACTGTGGGTTTGTGGCCCCCACACCCCCCAGGGCCCAGTTCAAAGGCCGAGTGCACTCGGGGCACGGAAGCAGCACCTGGGCCTGCGCACCTGCATGACACCCGAGCCGCGGGGCCCCAGCCAGCTTCCTGGCGGTAAGGAGCCCGCATCCCCCGCACTCCTCCTTGCTTTGGTTTCTCCAGCTCCAGAACTGACATCTTTTGTTCTAAGACAACTTGATCTGTGGTTTTAAATGCACAGTATCTAGAAAATGGGTCTCCAGTTTCTGAGATTTGTACCTTGTTGTGACGCCTGCTGGGAGACACAGGAAGACGGGCCCCGGGCAGGCCCCCGGGCCTGGGTGGAGACTGAGTCCCGTGGCCCGCTTCTGTCACGGCTGTGCTCAGAATCACACCTGGGCTGGGCTGCAGAGACCCTCCCTGCCTGGCATGACTGGCTGTTCACGATGTCACTGCCTCGGGGTCTCCCAGGGGCCAGCCTCACGCCCACCTTTCTGATGGCGTGTTCCTCCAGTCAGGGGGAGTTCTGGATGCTTCCACGGTGCCGGTTGCTAAGTCTGTCGGCTCCTAGGGGAGAACATCCACCATCGCCAAGACCCGAGGGAGCACGGGCAGTGCAGATGGGAGAGAGGACAGGCGGGGAGCTGGGGTGGCCCAGGCGCTGCCCCCGTCTGTGTGTGCCACCTCCAGGTGTGTGACACCTCGTGGCTCTCCTCCAGGAAGTCTCTCTGCAAGTGTGGCCTTACCAGGCAGAGAGGAAGCAGTCTAAGTACAAATGCCACAAAACGTCAGCTGTGTCCAAAATGGGGACGCGCCTTTCCTGGGGTGGCACGCCCGCCTCCGTTATGTGCCGCCCCAGGCACTGCGTGGCCTGACACTTTCCTCTCTTGCCACAGAAGCGGTAAAACATGGGTGACAAGCTTTTCCCTGGTGTTGGAAAAACCCTAAAGCATTCACTGTCATGTTGGCATGGGCGCGTTCGGCTCCCGGCGTGGCAGGCTGGTGGGGTGGGGCTTTGTCGGCATCACCTGGGTGTCCGTCCAGGTGCCTCCTGGGGTGAGTGCAGGGCAAGCAGCTTATCTGGACCTCATGGTCTTTCTGGGTTGAGGAGCAGGGTGCAGGGTGAGGGGGGAACTCGAGACTCCCCGCGGTCTAGTGGCTTGAAGGAGCTGCACAGAGATGCCACGAGAGGTGCAGGAAGTAGTGAGAACACCGGGGGAGGTTGGGAGGGGGGCGCAGGGGGCCGGGGTGCTGGTGGGATTAAGGGGTGGGGGGTCAGGTGTGGCTGGTAGGGAACCAGATATTATTCTGAATTCCATATTAAAACTGTCAAAGTGGGAAAGAATGAACTAAAGTTTGGCAATGTATTAGCGTGGTGACATGGGAGACACAAGTCAGTGTGTGGATACAAACGACACAGCATGCAGTGGGCTGTGTCCCCCTGGGCTGTTGGCTCAGGCAGCCCTTTGGGAGCCTGTGGGGGAGCCCTGCACCCAGGACCTCTCCTCCCTGGATCCCAGCCCTGCCACGCAGGGTCCTGTGATCTAGACCTCGTCCAGGCCTTCCCAGATGGGGAGGAAGGGTCCACCCCAGAGCCAAGCAGGGGCTTGCAAGTGTTTGCTGCTGTGATTGTCACCATTCATGTCATTATCCCAAAGTGGAGGTGTGGCAGGACTCTGAATTCTCGGGAGCTTGTGAAGCGGCCGGCACTGTGTCCACCCTGGAGTTGTGCTCCTGAAGGGAGGCTGTTGGTGCTGCCATGAGTCGCCTGAGTCAGGTCCTGCACCTGATGTCTGGAGGCAAAGCAGTGCAGAGTCACATCCTGTGCACATGGCCACTGCATGGAGCCAGGAGCAGGGTCTGCCCAGCCCACGGCACATGGTCACTCCTCTGTCCCTGGGGCCCCTGTGAGCCTGGCTGTGCCAGGTCAGGGCCTGTCCCCACCAGGTCAGGCCCCTGCAGGGCCCTCCCAGGTGCCCCCGTCCTGGAAGCAGAAGGTCAGGAGGAGCTGCACGCTCTCCCCCACGCGGCCTGGGGACAGGGAGCAGCAGAGGTGACCCAGGTGTGTCCTGCCCCACTCAGGCCCTGCTGACATTTCTGGTGGCGTGTGGTGGGCTGTGGTAGGCCTGGAGTTGGCACGGATGTGGCGAGAGGGTGAAGGCCACGTCATTGCAACCTGCAGTGGGGCTTCTGGGGATGGGAAATAGGAACAGCAGGTACCACTGGAGACTCTCTGCCTGAAAGGACAAATCAACCCTAAGGAGAGCAAGGGTCCCTAAGGGTCCCCTCCCTGCCCCATCACCTTGTGACATGGTGGAGACCCCAGCAGCTTGGTGCAGAACTGGGGAGCGGGCATGGCGGTTCCCAGAGGAAAGGTCTCTGCCAGCCCTACCTGTGGGTGCTTCTCTCTTCCTTTTGGGGTGCCATGAGAGCCCATCCTCCTCCTCCTGGGGGTGCCATGGGAACCCCTCTTCCTTCTCCTGGGGTGCCGTGGGAGCGCCTCCTCCTCCCGGGACATCTTGTTGAGCATGGTCTCTAACCCTCGCCCCCTCTTGGATTTGAGGGGCCACATCTCGGGAGCCGGGTGTGCCCTGGGCTGCTGGGGTGCTGAGCACAGTCCCTGGCCAGGCGCTGCCTCTGCCTTCACTCCACAGCACGGGGCACGTGCGCTGTTTCCTTTTGGGGGGAAAGTTTGAAGCAGGCATTAAACTTTTTGTCCTTTTGATTCAACTTTCACATTCTGAGATAATCCTTATCTGTGCTGATGATTTCCCCTCCCGTGTGCTTGAGTGTGAGTTAATCACAGGTCTAGGCCTGGGCCGCGCGAGCCCACGCTGTCACCTGCTGCTCTGGATTGCTGAGAAGTGCGGCCTCCTCGCCGGCAGTGGACCCGGCGTTGTTCTGTGTAATTGACTTGACTTCATGTTGCTCAGATATTTAATTCATTCCAGAGATTCTTATGATGCATAATTTTAAAAATGGCAGAAACCACAGAGGCCCCTCCTGACCACGCCCTTCAGCGTGACCACGAGTGCCTTTGTTTCTGGCGATGACAGTTCCCCGTGTGTGTGCTCTTGCAGTGTGCGACATTCCTCTGTACGACATCTGTGACTACAACGTCTCCAGGGACCGGTGCAAGGAGCTCGGGTGCTGCTTTTACAAAGGCATCTGCTACGAGAAAGCGGTTCCCAGTGAGTACCTGGCCCGGCCGCCGCACAGTGAGCGCGGTAGCCAGGGATCACGCTGCCCCGCCCCTGCCTGTCCCCCTTCCCGGGGTCGCTGCTTGCTGGGAACACCCGTTTATTGTCCTCTGGTCACATTACTCTGCTCCATGTGCTCGTGGGGACAGAAGACTCTGAGTGCAGTGTGACCTGGAGGGCCCGAATGGGATGGCCTTGATATGAAGGGGTCAGTCTGTGTCCCTCTTGAAAGAAGTTGGTCTCTGTGGGGTGAGGGTGTGTAGACGCTGGGTTCGAGGAAACAGTGCTACAGAAACCACTGGAGGGCCAGTGGGCTGCTGGCATGGTCCAGCCGGGACTCCCTGAGGACAGCTGAGAGAGACGCTGGACCCTGGCTGGGGCCCGCCCTCGGCTGCTTCAGCCCAGACCGTGTACCCAGACTCCCCCCCTAAGATTTGCCCCCAGGCCCTCAGGCACGGGGTGGGCCAGGCGGGGGGAGGCCCTTGCAGGTGAGGAGTGCTGGGCGCCGACTCTGACCAGCGCTGGCCTGGACGCCCCTGCCCCGGGCTCCACCCCGTACCCTCAGCGCCCGTGGTGAGTGAATGCACACGGGGCCGTGTGTGCGCTTCTCCTGCGTTTTCAGCCAAGTCCCTCAGAGACAAGGCACTGTGTCTACTTCCTCCCCTGTGCTTAGGGTGGCTCAGGAAGGCAGGACAGTGGTGACTGGGGAACATGACCGAGCACTCGCCTACCCTGCACAGGAGAAGCAGGGGCAGGATGCTGGCTTGCTCCCGGGCAGGAAGTCTGTCTTGCTGAATGCTGAGGATTTCGCACTTAACCAAAGGAAGATGGATTTTGCCTTCTCAGAAAGAGGCAATCAGAGGCCAAAATGCATGCTATCAATAGTCGAGAAGATTTTCTGATGACAACGTCTCCCTCTGATCTTGCTTTTAGAACACATGGGACCAGACTCTGCTTCCAGGAGATCCCAGGATTGAACACCTTCCCCTGCCTGCAGATAGAAACAGTTGACAGTTCTCTTATTTTCTTTTGGCTATTATTTTTATTTTTTTGAGACAGTCTCACTCTGTTGCCCAGGCTAGAGTGTTGTGGCATCAGCCTAGCTCACAGCAACCTCAAACTCCTGGGCTCAAGCGATCCTCCTGCCTCAGCCTCCTGAGTAGCTGAGACTACAGGTGTGCACCGCCATACCCCCTAAGTTTTTCTATTTTTAGGCACCTGCTAACTTTTTCTATTTTTAGTAGAGACAAGGTCTCGCTCTTGCTCAGGCTGGTCTTGAACTCTTGACCTCAAGCAATCCTCCTGACTTGGCCACTCAGAGTGCTAGGATTACAGGTGTGAGCCTTGGTGATTATTTTTATTGAGATAAAATTCTCATACCATAAAATCACTGACTTTTCATCTATGCACAAAGTTGTGCAACCATCACCACTCTTTAATTCTAGAACATTTTCAGCACTTCCCCTCCCCTGCAAAAGAAACCTCATACCCATTAGCAGTCAGTTCCCATTGCTCCCACCTCTAGCCCTTGGCAACCACTACTCTGTCTCTGTGGGCTTACCAATTCTGGACTTTCTATAAATGGAATCATACAACATGTGCTTCTTTCACTTATGTAGTTTTCAAGGTTCATCCATGTTGTAGCATGCATTAGTACTTCATTTCTTTTCCATGGTTGGGTAATATTCTGTTGTATGGATATGCCACATTTTGTTTATCCATTTATCAGCTGATAGATATTTGAGTTGTTTACACTATTTGGCTATTATGAATAATGCTGCTCTGAACATTTCTGCCCAAGTTTTTGTGTGAACATATATTTTCATTTCTCTTGGGTATCTATCTAGGATGGGAATTTCTGGATCATATATTAACTCTATATTTAAATTTTTAAGGAACTTAATTGTTTTCCAGGATGGCTATACCATTTTATAGTCCCATCAGCAATGTATGAGAATTCTAATTTCTCTATATCTTCACCAACACTTGTTGCTGTCCTTTTATTTATAGCCATCATAATGGTGTGAAGTTGTAGTTCATCATGGTAATGATTTACATTTTCCTAATGAATAATGATGTTGAACATCTTTGTATGAGCTTATTGGCTAGTTGTATTTTTCTCTGGAGAAAAGTTTATTCAAATCCTTTGTCCAGTTTTTAATTGGGTTAACTATCTTTTTACTATAGAGTTGTAAGTCCTCTTTATACATTTTGGATATTAGACCCTTATCTAATGGATGATTTGCAAATACTTTCTCTTACTCTCTTGGCTGTCTTCTCACTTTCTTGATAATGTCCTTTGAAGCACAAACATTTTTAATTTTGATGATGTCCATTTTATCTGTTTTTCCTTTGGTAGTTTGTGCTTTGGTGTCATGTCTAGGAAACCATTGCCTAATCCAAGGCCACAAAGAGTTATACCTATGATATCTTCTACGAGTTTTATAGTTATACCTCTTACATTTCTTTTTTCGATCCATTTTGAGTTAATTTTTATATATGGTACAAGGATAGTATTCACTTCATTCTTTTTCATGGGAATATTCTGTTGTCCCAGCATCATTTGTTGAAAAGACTATTTTTTTTCCCATTGAATTAGCACCCTTGTTGAAAATCAATTGCCCATAAAAGTGAGAGTTTATTTCTGGACTCCCAATTGTATTCCATTGACCTATATGTCTATCCTTAGCAGTACCCCATGGTTTTGATTACTATAGCTTTGCAGTAACTTCTGAAATAAGGAAATGTGAGTCCTTTACTTTTGTTGTTTTTTAAGATTGTTTTGGCTGTTATGAGTCCCTTGCATTTCCACATCAATTTTAGGATCAGCTTGTCAATTTCTGCAAACAGAGAAAAGCCATCCAGTATTTTGATAGGGATTGTGTTGAATCTGAAGATAATTTGAGAGTATTTCCATCTTAACACAATATTAATCTTCTGTTCCATGAACACGGGATGTCTTTCCATTTATTTAATGGAAAAGTCTTTAATTTCTTTCAGTAACATTTTGTAGCTTTCAATGCACCAATCTTGACCTTACTTTGTCAAACTTTTTCTTTTTGGTGTTATTGAAGATGGAATTATTTTCTTACTTTCATTTTCAGAGTGTCCATTGCTAGTATATAGAAATACAATTGATTTTCATATATTGATCTCGTATCTCATAACCTTGTTAAACTCACTTATTAGTTCTGTTAATTTTTTAGTTGATTCCTAAGGATTTTCTGCATATAAAATCATGTCATCTGAAAATAGAGATATTAATAGTTTACCTCTTCACTTATAATCTGGAAGGCTTTTGTCTCATTTTCTTGCTCAGTTTCCCTGACCAGAGCCTCCAGTATGATGGTGAATGGAAGTCATAAGGGCAGATGTCCTTGTCTTGTTGCTGATCCTGGGGGGACATTTTAGCATTTCATCATGAAGTATGATGGTAACTGTGGGTTTTATCAGATGCCACTTTTCATGTTGAGGAACTTTCCTTCTCTTCCTAGTCTGTTGAGTGTTTTTATCATGAAGCAGTGTTAGGTTTTATCGATTCTTTTTCTGCATCTATTGAGCACCTTAATGGAGCTCTTTATAACTCCACATGGATTTGACTTACTGTCTACTGTCCTTTCATTCCACCCTGAAGGACTCTAGTGTTTCTTGTAAGGAAGATTTGCCAGTGAAGAATACTCTGAATTTGCTTATCTGAAATGTTTTCATTTATCTTTCCCTGTTGAAAGAGTTGCTGTATATAGAAATGTTGGTTGATAGTCATTCTGTTAGCACTTTGAATGTTTTGTGTCATTGCCTTCTGGGCTCCCTGGTTTGTGATGATAAACTGCTGTTAATCTCAGGGCTCCTTTGCACACCATGTGTCAGTTCTCTCACGCTGCTTTCAAGATTCTCTTTGTGTCTTTGAACAGTTATCATGCCTCTAGGTGTGGATTTCTTTTAGTTTATCCCGCTCAGAGTTCACTGAGCTTCTTGGAGGTTTAGATTACTGTTAATCAAATTTAGGAAGTTTTTACCATGATTTCTTCAACTATACTTTCTGCCTCCCCTTTATCTCTCTCCTCTCCCTCTGGGACTCCTGTTATGTGTATTTGGTATTCTTTATGGTGTACCACAGGTCTCTAGTGATTCTTTTACTTTTGTTACTGTACTTTCAGCTCCAGAATTTCCATTTGGTTCTTTTTTTAGTAATTTCTGTTTTTATTGATATTCTCTATTTGGTGAAATATTATTCTCATACTTTTATTTCTTTGGACATAATTTTCTTTAGTTCTTTGAATATATTTAAAATAGTTGATTTAAAAATATTTTTCTAGTAAGTCCAATGTCTGGGCTTCCTTAGGAATAGTTGCTATTGATGGCATTTTTTTATGTACATGGCTGTACTTTATCATGTCTTTGTATGTCTCAGATTTTTGTTGAATATTGACCATTTCAAGTAATGTAATTGAGCGACTCTAAAGAGCAGATTCTTCCACCTCCCCAGTGTGTATTGTTGCTGCTGTTTGTTAATGTGATTATTGTTTGTTTGATGACTTTTCTGAACTAAATCTATAAAGTCTGCATTCTGTGGTATTGTGACCACTGCTTCGTTGACCTACAGGTCAGCTAATGACTGGAAAAAAATTTTCTTAGATACCTGGAAACATAAGCTTCTCAGACTTTGTGGAGGGGCTTTGTGTGTAGGTTGGGGCACACCTTCGACACCCAGCCAGATAGTTTCCAACTCTGCCTTAGCTTTTACTTCCTGCTTATGCAGAGCCTCAGAGTCAACCAGAGGTGAGTGCTCAGGGCTGTACTAGGCATGTCCAGGGCCCTGGGCTTGTCCATGGCTCTTTAGATTCCCAGGAATATGTCACAGCCTTTCACAGCTACCTATAGACATCTCATTTACCAGATTTGCCTTTTAAGCTTTTTGTTTAGCCTATTGTTTTCCCCCTATTGCTATCCACCACTTTAGCCAGTCACAATTTTCAACAACTGCCTCTGTT